TCATACTTGTGTGATTCTAGATAAGTTATTCAACCTCTTTAAACATTTGCTTTTCCTCTGCAAAATGGTGAAACCCATACTTTGTAAGGTCATTGTGAGGTATGTAACTAAAGGAGTACCACCTACAGCAGCAGAGAGCCATCTGACTAACACATAATTGTGTCTTTGGTCATGGGTGAAGGTGCTGGGAGGGATGGCTTTGAGCCTCAGGTGGCCTCCTTGTCCATATTGCTTAGCTCAGTGTAGTAACTCTGATGACCTGGCGTGTCCACCATTGTGTCAGCCCACTTGACTGCAAAGCACATGAGACTCAAAATACATCCTGGGAGCTCCCCTATGCCTGTGTTATTTTCCATCACCAATGTTGTTCTCGTCTTGTATTAAAGCCAAGTGGTGGCTTTAAAATTAGTGGTATTTCCATTAAGTGTAGCCAGCTGTTACTGACTTGACTGAGGGCACTGGCAACTGACAATTATGAGCTGTAGCGACTTGATTGTAGGTGTCTGGCCTTCCGAGTGTAATGTGTGATTAGCCCTGTTATTCCATTAACTGTAATCCCAGTGATGGGCAGGTGGTGAGGGTGAGACACAGTTCCCGTGATTCACATTTAAGCCTCTTTGCTTCCTGCTCAGAATGTTTCAGCAGTTGTTTCACCTGTTTTCCACCTTCCGCTTCTTGAGCCAGTCCTGAACAGAGTTGTCGTGAGGATCAAGTTGTCACCCAGCACACCAACAGGGGGAGACTAGACTCAGCTATAAAATCCCACTTCACGCCTCACTGGGGTGGGAAGCCATCCTCCAATTTAATCTATCTCAGATACACAATAAACCTCAGTTCCACCTATTCTAATAAGTTGTTTGTTTTTAATGTCTGGACAGCTCCTTAGAGAAATGACTGTTTCTAGAACACAGACAAGAAATATACAAGACAATCAGGGAACATTCTAGAGTGCCAAAAAAATTTTTTTTAAATACTTTTAAAAAAAACCCTATTGTCAAGTGATGGATATATATCAACCAGTGGAGTCAAGTAAGACTTGACTCCCCCATCCAGTGGTCAAAGCCGGAATAATGTGAGCCTCAAAATAAACCATGTAGTTTGGGATTTTAATGTGAAGTGCAGAGTAAATATTCATGAGCTCATCCTAATGTAAATAAACAGTTGAATAAACAAATAAATGGGGGCAAATAAATGAATTTCCCATTCAGAAGCATTCTAAATAATGTATGTCCTCTGCCCTTAAGGAGGTGGGCTTCTCCTTAAAGGTGGGCTTCACACAGTGATTTCTTTCTAAAAAGCACAACATGAACTGCAAGGAGTCACTTTCCAGTGGTGGTTGTTGCCAGGAGCTGTCAAGTTTGTTCTGACTCCTAGTGACTCTTTGCACAACAGAACGAAACACTGCCCAGACCTACACCCCCCTCATAATTGTTGCTACATTTGAGTGCATTGCTATTGTCATTGTATCTGTCCATCTCCTTGGGGATGTCTTCCTCTCTTCATGGACCCTCCACTTGCCAAAGCATGAACTCCTTCTCCGAAGACTAGTCCCACTTAGTAATGTACCTGAAGTATGAGACAAAGTTTCACTATCCTGACTTTTAAGGAGAATTCTGGCTATACTTCTTCCATCATATTTGTTTGATCTACTGGAAGTCCGTAGTTTTTTCAATAGTCTTCTCCAACACCATTGTACAAATGCATCAGTTCTTCTATGGTCTTCCTTATTCATCGTCCAACTTTCACATGCATATGAAAGTATTGAAAATATCATAACTTGATATGATATCATAACCTTAGATCTCAAACTGATATCTTTGCTCTTGAACACTTCTGGCTTCTCATATTGTTGAACTAATTTCTCCTCATCACCACCTGTTGGAGCTCCGCTCTTCAACTCATAACTTAAGAACCCTTCCTAATTGTTCAGCAAAGAATGATCCTCCCTTTCCACATAGTCCCTGTAACCTGGAACTTCATTGTGGTGTTTGTTTTCATCCATTCACTTATTCATCCATGCATTCAGCCAACAGGTATGGCACAACTGTACCAGCTGTTGAGTATAAAGCTGGAAGGAGACAAGCAAAGATCTAACCTCATGGAACTTAGAGTTTAGCTGGAGTAATTACTATCTACATTAACAACTAACTGAAGTTGGAGGAAGAAATGGAGGAATGAAGGACAGTGAAGTGAAAGGATGTTTTCTAAGGATCTCGCCTTTGCATTAAGATCAGAGAAGGAGTTAACTGGGTGAATGTATTTGTTTTTGAAAGGTTGGAGGGATAGGAGAAAGTATTTCAGGGGAAATTTTCTAAGGTATCACCGAGAAATCAAACGTCAGTGTGGCTGGATTTTCTTATTACGGATAGCATGTGTTGACAGTGCTTACCCCTCTACAGGTCTGCTCATAATTTATACTCACATAACCGTATAATATGTTGTTGTTAAGTGCTGTCGAATTGGTTCCTACTCGCAGTTAAACTGTACAAGGTTTCCAGAGAGTGGCTGGTGGGTTTGAACACCCAATCTTGTGGTCCAGTGCATCATCCTACAGCATACCAGGGCTCCATCCAATTATATGTTGTTGTTGTTGTTGTTGTTAAGTATTGTCGAGCCAGTCCTGACCCATAACAACCCTGTATAGGATTTCTGAGGAGAGGCTGGTAAGCTTGAGTTGCCCTCCATGCAGATCAAACCAACTTTGCAGTCCAGCACGTTAACCAACAGCGTGACACTGGGACTCCATCCTATTAAATGTTGTTGTTAAGTGTCGTCGAGTTGGTCCCAACCCATAGCGACCCTGTATAGGGTTTCTGAGAAGTGACTGTGAGCTTGAACCACCGACCCTGCAGTTCAAACCAACTTTGCAGTCCAGAGCCTTAACCCACAGATCATAGTTATTATATTGTTGTTAAATGCCATCGAGTTGATTTCAACCCATAGCGACCCTGTATAGGGTTTCCAAGGAGAAGCTGGTGAACTTGAACCTTGCAGTTCAAAGGACTTTGCAGTCTGACTCCTTAACCCACAGCACCACACCAGGAGGGTGTCATTATTTCTCCTGTTTTACAAATGAGAAAACTGAGGAATCCAGCTAGCAAGGGGAAGAACTGAGATTCAGACTGAAAGGAGGCTGATTTGAGAGTCTGTTCTTGTGTCTCATGGAGGAAGGCATTGCTAAGTTTCCTGAGTCAAATCATAGGTTCTTGTGATTGGTTTTTAGTAGCTCAGGGTTCTCAGCCTCAGCGCTCCTGATACTTTGGATTAGGTGATTCTGTATTATGGTGTCTGCTCTGTGCATGGTAGGCTGTTCATCAGCATCTCTGTCTTCTACCTCCTAGTTACCAGTAGCATCCTACCACCCCTGTCTCCCCAACTGCCAGTCAGTTTTGACAGTCAAGAATCTCTCCAGAAATGACCCGATATCTTGAGGTTGGGTAACAAACTCACAGTCTCACTAGCTCTCATCTGCCTCCTGTTGAGATCCGCTGTATTCACAGAAAAAATCCCATTATCTTTTAATGCCATTTTTCCATGAACTTTTCTGACGATCCTTCATATTATGAGCTCTTAGGGGACAGTGTGCAACTGTGTCTTAAGTCTTCTTTCTGTTTCCTTCTCTACTCTCTCCCTTCTTTTTTTCTTCTACCCAATGCTCATCGTTTATAGGATATACACATATTCCTTAAAATGTATATATAACACAGTAATTTGTATGTCGTGTCTGCTTAACAAATGCTTGCTTAGTTTCTGCCAATTGAATCCAGAACGCCAAGAATCCTAAATTATGGGCCTATTTCTGTCAAATAGAACAGGTTTCCAGAATTTCAGTCTTGATATATGAAGAGTTCATTCCTGTTTTCTGGTTACTTTGGTGTCCCTGTAGAGCCTTGGTGGGGTATTATTGTAGGATGAACACTCAACTGAAAGATCGGTTTGAACAGCAAGTTTGGTGGTTCAAACCCACTCGTCATTCCTCAGAAACCCTATACAGCGTCAGTATGAGTCAGAATCGGCGCGATGGCACTTCAAAAGGGACTTTTGTGTCCCTGAAAAACTGATGTGGCTGATAACCTTTTGGGTTAAGTTCCGTCGAGTTGATTCCAACCCGTAGTGACTCTGTCTAGGGTTTCTGAGGAGTAGCTGGTGAGCTTGAACCGCTGACCTTGCAGTTTAGACGGCTTTGCAGTCTGGCGCATTAACCCAAAGCACCACACCAGGACTCCTACAGGGCCTAAAGTACACCTACAAGTTCACCAACAGTGGTTTAGACAGCCCAGAGGCACACCTGTTCAGACTGGAACAGAGCATTACGTTGCCAATAAACAATGATGAATGTGTGGATGCGCTGTAACCATGAAATGAAGCTATCCGCCCAGCTCTGCAATTTCAGAGATCACTTAGAGCCTCTACCCATTTTCTCTGGTGAATCTTTTGTTTGTGAATGAGATCTGGGTTTGGGGGAAAACAGCTCTGGGAAATGACTCCCAGCCAGACTAGATTCTCTATTCAGGCCCCCTGGAGGGTGGGCAGGCATCGGAAAGTGGAGCTAATTTCTGGGTAATCTTTTTGCAACTAGAAATTTCATCTTGCCAGAGCACCAGTTGCTTGTCATTAGTGGGAGCTTAGAGAATCTTAAATGCAAAGATAACACAGGAGAGAGAGCTCCCAAATATAATATAATGCATTGAAATCAGGCAGCTTCTTTATGTTGTGTGTCTGTTTGTCACATTCATTGCTTCGCTTTGTCTTGGTACATACAGCCCAGAATTGTTGCCTCTTGGCGCTCTTTGTTGTATTTGAAGGCTAGCATTTTAATGCTTGTCTTTTCCGAGATTACCTGTCATTGGTACCGATCACTTTAGTAATTGTCTTCTACAGAAACTTAGTCTGTCGCTTCTCTCACCACCCTATCCCCACTCCCACAGACCTGCTTGGATGTATTTGAATGGCTCCCAAGTTATTGCTCATCAGTGTGCCTTTTCTTTCTCTTTCTCCAGAAGGAGGGACGTGTGAAGTGATAGCAGCTCACAGATGTTGTAATAAGAATCGCATTGAGGAGCGGTCGCAAACTGTAAAGTGCTCCTGTTTACCTGGGAAAGTGGCGGGAACAACCAGAAACCGACCTTCCTGTGTTGACGGTAAGGAACTGGTTTTGCGTCTCATTCCAAGTTTTCCCAATGCATAATGTATTTTCTTGTTTCCTCTAATTATGGTTCAGGATAATGAAAATGTATCCATCGGTCAGCCCTCAGGAAAGTGTGTGAGTTCTTGTTTCTCTGGGTTTGGGATTCTCAAATCAGCTCTATCTGCATTGCTTTTTGGTTGTTTTCTTTTTTTTTAAGAGAAGATTAAGGTGAAGGAATGTTTTCAAGTCAAGAATCTGAGGGCGTCATTCTTTTGGGAAGTTATTTATTTTATAAAAATAATTACATGTATTATGGGAGCTATATGAGTCAGCTTCAAAGAGTCTGTAGAGAAGTAAAATTAAATCATAAAGGAATTTTTTCCAGAACATTCCATTCCTTGTAATGATGGCTGTGGTAATGATAGTAAAGGAAATAATAACTTACATTCACTTAACAGCTATTTAATAAGCAGTTACTATATGCCAAGAACCGCTCTGGAAGCTTAAGATACACTCATAAGCAAATAGAAGTGACTTGAGCATTTACCAGATATCGAGTACTACACTAAACATTCCTTGTGATATATTTCATTTGATACCCTCAGCAATTCTACAGGGCAATATAGTAGTTATGTACTGTTGGTTAACGATTGCCTCAAAACTTGGTTCTTAGAGGAGCAAACATATTCTTGCAATTTCTGTAGGTCAGAAGTTTAGCTTACCTGGGAGATTCTGGCTCTCAGTCTCTCATGTAGTTGTGATCAAGATTTGAGCACTTAAGTCTTGTTAGTTGCTGTCAACTTTGAGGTGGTCCTTCCTCATCTTCATGTTCATTGGTATGATTGAGTCCAACCTAGATGGCTCATCTTCTAGCACTGTATCAGACAGTATTCTATTGTGACCCATATATATTATTTGGCTAATATACAGAAGTATATTGCCAGCACTTTATTCCGAGTGTGTTTCGGGAAGTTCCTCAGCAACGTGTCCATCATTGTGATACTGCTAGTCTTTGAAATACCAGTGGTGCAGTTCCAACATCACAACAACACATGTGAAACCACCACAGTATGAAAAACTCAGGTGGGTCGTATGGAGGCTTAATTAGTGCTGCTTCACTGATGCTGGAGAAATGTTTTAAGAGGACTCACTCACAATGATATTGGCAAGCGGACTCAGTTCCTCGCCATATGAATTTCTCCCTAGGAGCTTTGATGTCTTTACACCGTGACAATTGTGTTCCCCTAGAGATCTAAGAGAATTAATATCGAAGCCATCGTGTTTTTTATGAACTTCTCTAGACTTGGAGTCCATCATCTTTCATGGATATAGATAGAGGAAGACATCAACTAGATTGGTACAGACTCATTTTCTTACAGTCTTGGAAGCTGAGGGTCTCCATCTGGGTCATGGCTACATCCACTGTTTCCTCATAGATAGTCCCAGGAGTTCTTTGGTTCCTTGACTTGAAGATAATCATCACATGGTGACTGTCTTCCTCATGTGTATGTTTTTTGCATGTCTAATCTACTCTTTTTATAACTCAGAAGTGATTATTTGGGTATGTTCTCATTAATGTAGCTAAGAAAACCCCATTTTCATACACAATTGCATCTATTGGCACAGTGGTTACGATTCCAACACATATTTGAGAGGAATATAATTAATCCATAGCACTTATTGTATGTTTTCTTCATAAATCATTACACTTTAACAAGAGAAATATGTTTACAATAGAGCAAAAGAAAAATAAGTTATTTTTAAGGAATGTCAGAAAACTCAGTTGCTAAGAAACTCAGTCAAACATCATGGGATACATGAATTCTCCAGGTAATTGACTACTTATTTTCTTCGTCCCTGGACCACCTCTTTTTTAATCCCTGTTTTCTGCATTCTTTTCTATATGGACGATCTCTCTCTTCAGTGATTTTAGTTTCTGCTCCTTCATATCTTTGGAACTAGTTTTGTTGTTGTTGTTGTTAAGTGCTATTGAGTTGGGTGCAGCTCATAACTACCCTGTATTAGATTTTTGAGGCGCAGCTGGTTGGTTTGAACTGCCGACCTTGAGGTGCTAACTAACCTTTCGGTCTAGTGTTCATCCTACAGTGCCACACCAGAACCCTTTAGAAATAGTTCCAGATACTAGAATTGAGCCAATTTTTGTGCCTAGAAGCTATACTGTCCATACGGTCAGGCTGAGTGAAATTGAAATTGTTGTTGCTATGTGCCATTGTGTCAGTTACAACTCATTCAGTACACTCTTGTTGTTGTTGTTAAGTGCCGTTGAGTCGGTTCCGACCCATAGCGACCCTGTACAAGGTTTCCGAGGGTGTAAATCTTTACGGGAGTAGAAAGCCTCATCTTTCTCCCGCGGAGCGGCTGGTAGTTTCGAACCGCTGACCTTAAGGTTCGCAGCCCGATTCGTAACCACTACGCTACCAGAGCTCTGTGTCTGTATAGGGTTTCTGAGGAGGTTTCCTTGGACAAGTGCAGGGTTTTTATTTCTATCAAGGCTAATTTAAGTCTCACTCAGCCTAACAGTACAACTTGCAGGCACAACAATTGACTCAATTCTAGTATCTTGAATGTATTTTCTCATCAGACAGAATATAATTGGCTCAGCTTAAACCAGTATGATTTGTCCAGCCAGCAGGACAAGAATAAGTGGCACGTGACAGCTGATCAATTCAGTGCTATATGGAGATCACACGTTTTACAAAAGATGTGAAAAAGTAGCCAAGTAGGAGACTACACCATGATCAGTAACTCACCTGGGTCAGTTTCCCCTCCCCCACACCTTCACTCAGCCCACCCCATGCTGCATGGTTTACTTGGCAGTGTCTAGACACTGGCTTTGGTTGGCACACTGGGGAATGCCACTGCCATCTAACATGTAGAGGCCAAGGATGCTACCAAATATCCTGTTTTTCAGGGTAGCCCCCACCCCCCCCACCACCACACTCTGGTTCAAAATGGCAATGGTGTTGACACAAGATATCCTGCAGTGTGATTATTTGCTTCTTCTACATCACAGTCTATGCCCTTAGTGTCGAAAAGGCAGGCAGCCATTTTGCCCTTCTTACAGCAGGAAATGCTTGGCTCTAGAATAAACATTATCAAATTACAATGGTTTCTCATGTTCTTTGCCAAAGAATGCATTGAGATTGTTGACTATAAATCTCCATTTTGTTTCCAGTTTATTTTTTACCTGTAATGATCGGAAATTAGAACTACCTTCAGGATTTGGATGCAAGACACACATGCCTTGTCTATGCTAGCAGAAGGGAAATAGCTTCTAGAACCAAGTATTTCTGAGAAGCTAAACCACATAATGGTAGTATTTTGTCACTCACAACAAATTTGTTCGACTTTGGGAAATGTGAACACTTCAGGGTGTTCACACAAGAGAGCTACATATTTTCCAAGTTAAAGTCAACAAAATAGAAAGTGTTCTTTAGTTTCAAGCTGATCATATTTTTCATTGCTTTTCACTCTTCCAAAACCCTGAAGCCATTGGCATTTATGTGCAATTCTATGTGTTACTATGATCAAAACTGTTTTTGTAGCCCAGATTTTTATATACAAATTAAAGTTCAGATATTTAAGAATAATCCCAATCTAGTTATTAAGATTGTGTGCTGTGAAATTAACCAGCTTTGAGTCTGACCAGAGCTATACCAGTTACCAATAGAATGACTTAGTCATATTTACTTTCTTACCCTACTACATCTTCTGTAAAATGGGAATAATTACTATCGCTGCTTTATAAAATAATGTAGAGAAACAAGGAATTCATGTGTATAATGTGTTTTGTACAATGTCTGACTCCCATCCATTGCATACTCAATAGCACTATCTGTTTTCTGTCTTCCTAAAAAAGTGTACATGATGCTTAGCGTTATTGTTTTACCAAGTTTTGTTTCATATGAATTTAATTATGGACCTGCTTTAGTAATGTCCTGGTTAGTTATCTTTAGTTCTGCATGCTCAGTATGAGAATCTTGAAAACAACAGAAATCTATCCATGCATTAAGTGTAACCATGCATTCATCACCCAGAGGGTATGGTTTCTTGGTGAAGTACCACTTTCGTATATGTCCTTTATCATAATTCCATAGTAAGGGAGAAAACCCACAGCAAAGATATTATCTTAAAATAAAATGCTAACATACAGAATTATTGGTGGCTTGTTTCACCTAATAGATGGTTAACCTTTCCTAAATTAATACATCTTCAAACACATTATATTGATGGTTATATGGGATTTAAGTTGGAGGTTCTACTCACCAGTTGCTAATTGGAAACCCTATACAGGGTTGGTATAAGTCAGAACAAACTCACCTTAATAACACTTAACAACAACATACACACACACACACACACACACACACAAGGGAACTTCAAAGAGATTGTGGAAATTTTTCATTATCTTTTAATTCCATTTTTCCTTGAAATTTTTCAAGTCCCTTTTCTACCATGTATTTAACTAATTTCTCCACTTTGGGAAATGTCAGTACCACTTGCATTGTTCTTTCCCAGTTCCCTAAGGGTAGGAAGAAACCAGCTCTCTTCATGGCAGCACTTGACAATCCTTACAGCACGTTGGTCCTGAACAATTTCTGCCTTCTGTAACGCATTCCCATGGCAAGTGTTCAGATTGCTGTCATTTGCTCTCCTCTAAAATTATAGGTCAGTTGCTTTCTCCAGTGTGTTCAAAAACAGAAGAACAGCTATGATTTTAAATGAAGCATATGCTGAATTGTTTTGCAGTTTCAAAATCTGAGGCCAAATCATGTAAAATGGCACAGAAGTTTTAGAGTAAAATCTTAGCAACTTTTACAGAAATATAATGTATTTGGTGTATTGTACTTGGTGAAATTTTCAAGTAGTAGGATTTTATTTTAGCAGATAATATTATATTACCTGACTACTAAAAATACCAAAATAGACACCGAACAACTTAAATTCTGGGACATTCATTTGTAGGTATTATGAAAGCTTTATGCCTTTGAA